AGGCTGCTGCCGTTGGAGGGGAAGATGGTGTGGACCACGTACTCCTCCTTGGCACGGTATGGGTTGATGGGCAGCATCTGTAACCCGGGCCCGCGGATTTCCAGGATGGAGTTATCCTTCTTGGTCCCTGACTCCATATAGTCGTCCTTTTTCCTGCTGCCCCGGTTGTAGGCCCTCTCCCGCGTCAGCAGCTCACCGGCTCGGTGCACATACCAGCAGATGGCCCCCAGGATGAGGAAGAGGAAGACGAGAGCCACAGCGCCACCCACGATGCCCGCCAGGGGCAGGCCTGCCATAGGGACTGCGTTCTGCTCCTGGTTGAGCGTGGTGGTGGGGCCGTAGCTGTCGGCCGTCTCTGCCTTGGCACACACGGGGGTCTCGTCGGCCACGTAGGTGTTTCCGGTCTCCATGGTGACCATGCAGATGATATAGGTGGACTTGGGCTCCAGGGCCGTCAGCAGGTACTCCGTCTTGTCCCCCTGCACCAGAGTTTCCGTGATGGAGCCCACGGCCGGGCTGTGGCCCAGGCGCAGCCAGCTGAGGCGGAAGGAGGAGGCGGGGAGTGTGGCCTTCCATGTGATGCGGATGGAGTCTGCCGTCAAGGGCTTCACGTGGATGACCAGGGTCTTGGCGCCGTCCCCCGTGGCCATGGGGTAGTCAATGTTGGAGTCAGGGAGGCGCAGCCCTGGCCTCTTGGCCTTGAGGGTGAACAGCGAGCCCTGGGGCGTGGTGGCCAAGGCGTGGTTGCTGGTTGTGGTCTTGGCAGCTGCGTTGGCCGCGCCGCCCTGCGACCCCGGCTCGAAGCACTCGTCCATCTCGTTGGTGATGTCCTTGATGGCCATACCCCGAACCTTCTCAGGGCCCTGACACATGAGGCCCCGCACGTTGACCACGGCTGCCCGCGCCTTCACCCAGTCCCGCAGCCACATGAGGTTACAGCCGCAGAACCAGGGGTTGTTCCTGAGCAGTAGCTGGGCCAGGTTCCCCAGGTCGTCGAACAGGCCACGGGGCAGCGTGGTCAGGTTGTTGTTGGACAGGTCCAGCCGCTCCAGCTCGCGCATCTTGGCCAGGGTGTTGTAGGGGATGTGGCTGATGGCATTGTCCTGCAGGTAGAGCTTCTGAAGGCGGGCACTGGGCAGGTTGAGGGGCGGGGCGGCCAGCGAGTTGCGCACCAGCGACAGCTCTGTGAGGTTCTGCAGGCGGCTGAAGGTGTCGTCGGCGATGCGTTGGTTGGCCAGCAGGTTGCCGTCCAGCACCAGGCGCCGCAGGCTGTTGAGGCCCTTGAAGGCATGCAGTGGGATGGTGGAGATGCGGTTGTCGTCCAGCCGCAGCTCCTCCAGCGTGTGGGGCAGCCCTGAGGGGATGCTGCTCAGGTGGTTCCGGCTCAGGAAGAGCAGCTTGAGCTGTTTGCTGTCAGCAAAAGCGTCGTCCTCGATGCTGACCGTGGACACAGAGTTGTCATCCAGGTGCAGCTTCTCCAGCAGCGGGATGCGGGCCAGCGAGTCCCTGGCGATGGTGCGCACGTTGTTGTCCTGCAAGTGCAGCTCCCGCAGGGAACGGGGCAGGTTGATGGGGAACTCATCCAGGTCGTTCTCGTACAGGTAGATGACCTGCACGTTGACCTTGGTCTTGAGGTCCTGGGGGATGCCGGCGTTGTTGATCTGGTTGTTCTGCAGGTAGAGGGTGGTGGCGTCATCGGGGATGTCCGCAGGGATGGAGGTGAGCCCCCGGTCATTGCAGTAGATGAAGCCGTTGTCACAGCGGCACACCGAGGGGCAGGTGGTGCTGTCGATGACTTCCGTCAGGAAGGCGATGAGCCCGTAGCAGAGGAACAGCCAGTCCCGCAGGTCCATGGTCGCCGTGGTCATCACGACGGTGGCCGTGACGGTGGTAGTGGGCGTGGTGGTGGTGGTGGTAGAGGGGTGTGCCGCCACCATCGTGGACGGATGAGGCAGCCCGATCCACCTGACCTGGAGCCTCAACACCTACAAGGAGCACAAGACAGGTGCCGTGAGTATGAAACCCCAACAGTAGCGAGGAGCCAGCTGTGCCCACTTGCTGCCAAGGGTCACCACAGTTGGGTCCTACAGGGCCAAAGTCAAGCTGTGAGGCCCGGCCCTTTTCATGCCAAGTTTAGGACACAGGTGAGCATGTGCTCAGGCGAAGGTGGGACCCTAAACCCAATGGGCTAATGTTACATCGTTTTTTTGGTAGAGATTTTCGCCTTAGGCTATGGAGAGAGAGAGAAAAAAAAAAGATAGAGACAGTGAGAGGAGAAAGTGAGAAATCACCCCCAGCAAAGATGGCCATGCTGCAATCCCTTCTCCTCCATTCTCTTCCTGGGGTCTTGGGCACGCACGCACATGCGCCTGATGTTAAATCTTACCAGGACAAAGGCGACACCCATTCATGAGGCTTAGGCTACTCGGGAGCTGTGAGAGAGGGCGATTTAGTGAGTGCCAAGCCGCAGTTCTGGTTTCTTTCAAGGTTTCACACTCAGCCAGTCTTTGTGGCTTATGGTAAAGGTGCCGGTCAGTGGTGATGGGATGGATTTGGGGTGTGTGTGATGGATTCAGAGCCACCGTTTCTCACTGGAATGGGGAACATGCATGGCTGACCGGGCTCTGGCCTAGTCTTTGAAGGGAAAGCTTGTTTTGGGGCAGCCAGCGAGCTCAAAAGGGGGGCATTGCCAGAACCTGCAGGAAAGAAGCTGCCAGCATTGTCACTGGTGAGCGGTGGAGGGCGCGGCGCTTCATTGTCTGGTGTTAAAACAACATGTCCTGTTTGTCACTCGTACGTTTTATAGTCAGAGGTATAAGGTGCCAACAGAATCGCTTCCTTGTTTATTTACAGAAATCTCTTTTTATCAGAGGTGCCTTCCTTAGCTCCGTGTTCTGTGGGAACTTATCCCACACCTTGCTCAAAAAAAAAAAAATAAAATGTTTTCTTGAATTTAAAGAAATGAGAAAAATAAAAGGAGGGAGGGGTCTGCACGCCGAGGGACTTGTCTGCAAGGTGTAATTTTGATTTTCACAAATGGAAAAATTGCAGCGTAGATTTTTCTCATATTATTTTACTGTTCATGGTGGTAAAAAAAATCAATTAAAGAGAAATTATATTTCAACCTCAGTGGGGAAGGCGGCTTCACACAGCCAGCAATGCTTCACCAAGGCTTTGCAACGGTGGGACACGGTGGCCTCCTGGAGCCTGAGCAGAGGCCCCAGCCTGGCAGGGCAGCCCTGGGGTGTGGCTAGAACTGGCATCTGCTGACTGAGACAGCAGGGACTCATCGCTATGTGCCTGGGACCAAGCATCTCCATTTTTCTATCATGCCAAACCCTCGTCCCTTCTTTGTCCTGTCTTCCAGGACTGGTCCTCTCCATCCTGCAAACTCCTTCTCACCCTTGAGGACCCAGGTCAAATGGCCCTTCTCTGCCAGGTCTTCCTCATGTCCCAGATAGAGATTATCTCTCTTCTGTCCAGCCATTCATCCTCCTACCATCCATCCATCCATTCATGCAGCCATCTGTCCACCCAAAAGATTCTTTTTTTTGGAGAGGTTTTTGCTATAGGGCACGTGCGCTTGCCAGAAAGACAGAGAGAGACAGAAAGACAGAAAGCGAGAAATCACCCCCCAGGGGGGATGGCCACGCCGCAATCCCTTCTCCTCCATTCTCTTCTTGGGATCTTGGGCACGCATGCACACGTGCCTGGCGTGAGTTTAAGCCACCAGGTCCGGGACTCGAACCGTGGTCGACCACATGGGAGTCCAGCGACATAGCCATAACACTAACTGCTGGTCCCAAAAGATTCTTAGTGAGCATCTGCAAGGTACCAGCCCCTTGGAGTTCCATTCTAGTGGATGGGAGCTCACAAGATAAGGAAGAGTTTTGCTTAGAGCTTTCCAAAGAGTTGGGTCATTTAGTTCTCACAGCAAACATGAGGCCAGTGCCCTTTGTATTCCCATTTCACAGATGAGAACACTGAAGCTCGGAGATGTTCACTTACTCAGGACTGCCAGAGAAGTGGAGAGGAGGAACCCAGGCCGTCCGGGTCACGCCAGATTCTCGGTCACTGGGAGGCTTGCAGTGCACTATGGATGACCAGTATATCAATGTCCCCAGCTAACTGTGGGTGCTCCATGGTGGAGCTGTGGCCTGCAGGGCCTGGTGTGGCTTGTCAGCAGTGACCACCAAGGGCAGATCGGATCCCCTGCCCCCACCCCGGTGAACGCCTCTGCCGCTCACGCAGCACACTCCTACTCCACGTGCATTTACAAGGGCCTTCGCTCGGCAGCCCCGCAGCTCTGGGGCCTTCTAGGGCTCTGGCTCTGCCCAGGCTAACATGGCAGCTACACTCAGGATCTGCTGGCAGCCTGAGGCTTTGTCCATGAGGTGGACCCAGTGCAGGCTAAGGCAAGGAGGAAGGTGCCTTGGGAGAAGCCCCTCAAGGAAAGCAGAGGATGCCAGGAGAAAGGGGGGCTGACGAGATAGTCCCCTGCGCTCTGGGCCCTGGGAGCCAGCTTGGAGCCCCTCACCCGAGCACTGAGCTGGGGGCGGTGAGGGGCTGAGAACACGTGTCTGCTTGTTCCTGGTGCTTCCTCAGGGCTCAGCCCAGCCCAGGCTGTGGGGTCAGACTCTAATACACCCCACCCATCGGCTCTGCAGGACTCAGAGCGGCCTTTACTTCCCATACACTGTCCTGGCCCTCTCCTCTGGACTCTGGCCTCGTTTTCGTCTCCTCGTGACTCCTGTCTGAGACCCTGACACCCAAGCTGGTCCCTACCCGGCTGTCCCCACCCTCCTCCTCTTGCCTCCTCCCGTGGAGCCTTGCACTGATATTCCAACCTGTCTGCCCCTCATGGGCACCAAGAATCACCCAAGAAAACCCAAAGCTCTTCAGTCATCGGGTGGCCCTGTTCCCTCCACTCCCTTCTCCCTGACCACAGGAGCCAGTTACTACTCCCTGGCGCCCCAGGGCCCTTGCACATGCCATTCAGTCTGCTCAGAACACTCGTTTTCAGAGCTGTACACTTTCCTCCCAGCAAGGCCTTCCTGGCTACCCTGACAAAAATGACAACCCCTCAAATATGCCTTCTTGGCATTCCCTGCGTACCTGTAGTATTTACTACCAACTAATGTGTTACATATTTTACTTTTAAAAAGTATTATTATTGTCTGTCTCCCCCATGGAAGGCAAGCTGTTTAAGGACAGGATTTGTGTCTCATGCACTATATGCCCTGGACCCAGCCCCGTGGACTATATGCAGCAGATGCTTACTAAACATAAAGAAGAAACTGCCCTTGACCCATTCTGTAGCTAAGGAGACAGGCAGGGAGAGAGCTGCCCAGTGCCCCTGGTAGAAGGTGGTGGAGTCTGGATTCCACCCGGGGCTGTCAAGCTGCAAGGCCTCAGTTCTGGATCACTGCTCTGCTGAGGACTGTGAGACCCCAGCCCACCCGAACATGACTCGGGCACAGGCTGGGGAGTCTTAGATCCTCACCGAGGTGCCTGCTCTCTAGAACCTCCCCCCTACATTGCCCAAGGCCACGGCTGAGGGGATGGAGCACCCTAGGCTTCCCAGGCCTTTATCTGGCCACCTCACTTCCTGTTCCATCAGGGACTGGGCAGGGCATTGCCCAGATGGTGGACAAGGAGGGACTGGAGGTCGAGGGCAGCATGCAGACTCAGACTTAGAGGACAGGGATAAAGCCAGGCCCTGGGGTGAACCCTTGGCTGGGCCTCGCCCACTCCTCCTTGCCAGGTGCTGAGAGAGAGGCCCATGACGTGTACTGGTGCCTGGCTGTCATACACTCACAGGTCCTTGTCCCCACTTCACAGAGGAGCCACCAGAGGCTCAGAGGTGAGGGGTCCATCTGGGGTTGCCGCCAGCCCAGGTTTCCAACCTCGTGCCTGTCTCTTCTGCTCAGAGCAGGACCGCGAAGGTTGCGGAGCCTGGAGGTCCCGTCTTGGCTGCCGTGGGCAGAGGCAGAGCGGTGCAGGTGCAAGAGACAGGGAGACTCAGCCTGCTCAAAGGCCAGCTTACCTTGGCGTCAGGTCAAGTCAGATCCCATCTGCCCAGGTGCCCACCATCTGGCCAGAGGACACGTACCCTCCCTGGTCTGTCAGCTGCCGAGTCCTGGCGCTAGGGATACAGGTGGCCTCTGCACTTGGCTGTTCTGGGGCAGCGCCCTGAGCAGGGGGCAGACTTGTTAAGGCCAAAGCCAAGGCCATCTTCTCTGGCATGGACATCTGTTCCCAGTACCAGTTCCGCTCACAGCCACAGTCCTTAGCCTCTAGAGGCCCCAGCATCATAATAGAGTCTAAATTGCACCTTTCAGAGATGCTTGATGGATAACCAAGAAGCGTTTGGGAGGCAGGGACCCAAGGCCTTTCCGCTCCCTTGTCTGCAGACCTCATCCATCTTGGCCAGTCTCCCCTGTGGCCCCCTCCCCAAGGCCGGCCGGAGGCTGAGCCCTCTGGCTCCGGGAAAACGGGGCAGGAAATGGGGGTGGAGGGGAGATAGCATACCTCGCGGGAGGAGCCTTTTCATTGCCTGAGTGCCTGGTGGCTTTTTTTTAATTCCCTAGTTTATGTGGCCATCAAATTAAACCCAGTAAATCGCCCATGTTTTACTGGATCACTTGTTGTCGTGTGGATCCCACGGACTTAAGCATGGCGTGAGTTATGACCTGCCAGCTCCATGACTGACAGCAGGATCCTGGGTGGTGGAGGAGGGGTGCTGCCGGCATCATTCTTGGTACTCTCTCCTGCCATCTTCCAAGACAGAGAAGCCTGAGTTCAAATCCAGCCTCTGCTGTTTCCAGGCTGTGTGATTCTGAGCAAGCTGCTTGCCCTCTCTGAGTTTCAGTATCCTTATCTATAAATGTGGTCCTCACAGACACCTTTACAATCGAGGATTCACTGAGACTATCCACACAGAGCGCCCCTCCTTAGTGTAACCTGATGAGCTCGCTGCATAGTT